CGCTCCCGCTGCGCTCCCGCTGCGCTGGCCGCGGGCTGCGCTCCGCCGCCCGGCCCCGGGAGCCGGCCGGGCCGGGGCACGGCGGCCCTCGGGGGGGCTGCGGAGACAAAGAGCCGCGGCCCCGTCCCGCGGGCGGCACCGCCCGGCCGAGCCCACCTGCGCCGGCCGCGGCTCCCGAGCCAACTTTCCGCCGCTCCCCCCGCCCGCGGCCCCTCCGCGCTGCCCGCAGACAATGGGGCCGGCGCTCACCAGCACCACGGCGAAGCGCTCCTCCAGCTCGCCGGGCTCGGGCATGGGCAGCTTCAGGGGCACGCCGTGCGCCCTCAGCTCCGTCTGCTGCGCGTCCACGCTGCCCGCGTTGCCCATGGCGGCCGCTCCGCGCTGCTCCGCGCCCCGCGCCGGGCGGGCTCCGCGCCCCGCGCTCGCCCTCTACCACCGCGGGCGCTCCGCCGCGCCGCCGCCCGTCATGGCTCGCCGCCCTCGCCCTCCTCCCCCCGGGGCGGGCTCGCTCCGGCTCCGGCTCCAGCCCCGGCTGCGGCTCCCCCGCATGCCGCCCGCACAAAGCCCCGCTCCGCCCCCGGCCCGCGGCGCCATGGGACTCGTAGTCCCGCCGCCGGCCGCGGGGAGGGAGGCGGGAGAGGGCGGTGGGAATGCCTGGAAAAGGTGGAAAGGAGTGGGGAAATGGGGGGAAGGGGTGGGGGACACCCCGCCGCATCCATTTTGCCTCGGCGGCCGCGCTGCTGCCGGCCGGCAGTGAGTGGACGCGGGGAGTGGTTTCCAGCGAGGGCAGGGGGAGAGCGGAGATTCCGGAAAATCCTTCCCTGGCAGGGTGGCAGGCCTTGGCACAAGTGCCCAGAGCAGCTCTGGCTGCCCCTGGATCCCGGGAAGTGCCCAAGGCCAGGCTGGACAGGGCTGGGAGCAGCCTGGGGCAGTGGGAGGTGTCCCTGCCATGGCAGGGGTGGCACTGGGTGGGCTCTAAGGTCCTTTTAAACCCAAACCAGCGTGGGACCCTGGTGCTGTGATTAACTCTAGACCTTTGCTGTGGACAGCCGTGGTCCTGCTGCTCACCAAAACGGCTGTAGGTGCCCAAGGACAGTTGGCCCCACCCGGTCGCCCCAGCCCCCATCCCGAGTGACTGAAATCGGGACAATTGGGGTGACTGACCCCCGTGAATTCGCCACCCCGACACATCCGTACCCGAGCTGAGGCTGCCTGGGTGTACACAGGAGGATCATCCACCCCAGCATCTCAAGCCTGGCCGCTCCTCGGGCGTTATCCCCCATTTCTGCAGTGTTCCCCGGGTTTCAGCATCCCAGGGATGCAGGGCTGCACGGGAAACAGGAGCCTGGAACCCTGACCCTGGGAGATGCCATCAGCCCATTTGGTGACTGTGCTGTCCTCACTTACATCTGGCTTAATCCCAAATCCAAGACCTCATTCCCTCCTGTCAGCCCCACCAATCCATACCCCACTGTCCCCTATGAGCATCCCATTATCCTTCCAGGGAAGAACGATTTTCACTCGGCTCTCACCTTCACACCACTCGTGCTGCTGCCTCTCCTCCTGGCCATGGAAACTATCCACATGGAGATTAATTTGGGGAGAAGAGCAAAAGGATAAGCATCATAGTCTGGGAAATGACCATTCCTTCATTTCCATTCTCTGGGATCAGGGCTGTGCCAGAGGCACGGCTTGGGAAGTGCTGCAGAAGCGACGTGCTGGGAATCCTGTGTGGCAGCACACGCAGTCCTGCAGGGGAAATCCATGGAAGTGACAGGCAGCTTTTCTCCCTGAGAGCTCTAAACCCACTACTAATTAAACGAGCTCGTTCCAATTAAAAAAAAAAATAAGTGTCATACATCCATAACTGGGATGGGGAGGAACTCTTTGTCCTGGCTCACTCCCCACCTTGCCCACAGAGCATCAGGAGGTGGCCCGGGCCCCCGAGCGATGCCAAAGGTTTGGATTTCCCACTCTGCAGGCCCCAGGAACAGCTCAGAATTTCATAAACTGCTTTGTTAAAAGCCCGAAAACCTTGCAATATCCTTGGTAAACAAAGGTTTGAACCCCGGAGAGCTGTCAGGAGTTAACAACGACGTTACTGTCGTGGTAATAGATACTTTGCCCCGTGTCTTTTATCTATCACAATTCTTTGAAAGATTAATTAGTTCATTAAGCTTCACAAGAGTGCTGTGAGATAAGGCAGCCTTAGAGCACCACTGATAACAGGAGGGCAGGGAACAGTGATGAAGACAGTCCCCAGCAGAGGATCCTTCCCTCTCCCAGCAGCAGGGCTTTTCATGACTTGTGATGACAAACTCGCTGCAGTGTCAGGAATCCCAGGATTTTCCCAGTCAATAATTCCCACCATGGAAGCACTCAACACTTTTCTGATGATCCTTGTGGATCCCTTCCAGCTCAGCAAATTCTGGGATTCCCTGAGTCACCTCAGCATTTTTAAGTCCCTCTGGACACCAGGAGACCTTCAGGGATGGGGAGATGCTGCTGGCCACAAATACCTGGGACAGGTTGGGAAAATTGCAGGATAAACTGGATTCCTGGGCTCCAGCAAGAAGTCAAAGGCAGCTCTAAATCCTGCTATGAGGCATATTCAGGTCAAAACTAGCCTTGCAAAATTTTTAATGAATTTAGGCATCCTCACACACAGCGAGCATTTGACATCAATGCAGCAGAGCAAAGAAAAGAATTCTTGTAAAGGATGAGATGATTTTTAAGCAATTTGTTGTTGTCTCTAACTGGGATGTCGACATTTGCAAATGCCAAAATTAGTGTGGGTAAGTAAAAAAAGGGACTTAGCTGGCTCGTGCAATGTAAAGAAATTATTCTGGGATTAAAACTAATAAACAAGAGCTTTGTTTTCACATTTTATTTATTCAAATAAAAGAAGCAGCTCACAGTGTGCAGTTCCCAGAGCTCATCCCAGGCACCTGGGTGATTCACACCGGGTGATGCCAGCAGGGAATTCTTGGTCTGCCCCGGGGTTAATGGCCATACCAGCTTTGCAAGGGTTCCCTGCCATGAGCGTGTGTGGAATTTCACTGGAGAATGAGATTTCTCAGCCTTTCCTCAAGGTCTGTTTGTCACCAAAATCTCCTCATAACGAGCTGGAAGTTATGGCCGAGTCATTCCTAAATTCCCCTGACCCAGCTGCTCTGTTTGTCACCAAAATCTCCACGTAAAGAGCTGCAAGTTTGGGGCTGAGTCATTCCTAAAATCCCCTGAACCAGTCTCTACTTACTTATCTAGAGAAAACCCTTTGAAGGGGAAAGATTGATTTGTGAACCCTCATTTTCCCTGATGCTCAGCACTTCCAGAGGGATCCTGAGCTGCCTTTTCTGTGAAGTTCCAGGTGATCTGATAAAAGCTGGAGAGGCTTTAATAAATAGCCAGACCCTGCTCAGCAGTGGCCAAGGATGCTTCACTCATAATAAAGATGTAGAGCACCCATAAAATCCATCCCTGAGCTGAGCAGTGCTCGCTTCACATGAGGTTATTGATTGCAGTTCGTGCATGCTGAGCTTGCTTAGGAGAGGGGCTTTTCTGTAACAAATGGAAAAAATATTTTAAAATCCTGTTCTGCTTTCTGAGGGCAGCCTTCCCAAGGGAAATGAGCTGCTGCTGAAGCTGCAGGGTGGAAGTGCTCAGTCCCAGCACAGCGAGTGCTCAGGTTCACATCTACCCAGCCCTCTCAATTTTCTCGGGGTGCTGGAAATTAAATGATGAACTTTGGAGCTGATTTCCTCGTGCCCTGCTCTGGCCCTGCTGATGTCCTTGGGCATCACTTCCAACACTGGCGTGGATCAGATGCAGCTCCAGCAGAGCCAAGTGTGGTGCTGTCACCGGCGTCCCACCTAACCCTGCCCTGATCCCTTGTCCCCCATCCCTCTCCAGCTCTCCTGGAGCCCCTTTGGGCTCTGGAAGGGCTCTGAGCTCTCCCTGGAGCCTTCTCCAGGCTGAACATCCCTCCAGGTGTAAACTGAGTTTAAAACAAGCTGCAAAGCTGGGCAGGAGAATGCCCAAGGAGCGCTGGGACGTGAAGATGAGTTGAAGGACATCTCCCCATGTTGCTGCCATCGCTGCTGAGCAAACCCAGCAGCAGCTGGGGTTATTTCCTGGTGGGACTCAGCCTTGCCAGGAGCTCCTTCAGCATTTCTTGGCAGGAAGGCAGGCAGACAAAACACAGCCTCAGAATTCCCAGCAAGGCCAGGAATCGCCAGTGCTGAGGCAAGTGAGATAATGGAGCAGAAAACAGGGCTGGGGAAGGAGTCAATATTTCATAACACTGCAATGTGAGAGCAGAGCAGCACCGAGGTGCAGCCAGAGGCTGGGGGAGATGCTGGATGGAACAGGGGCCAAAAGATGCCTCTGTTTTCCCTGTGGAATGGAGGGGCTGGAGCTCAGGCCTCAGCTGGCCCCAAAGGCCAGCAGGGACAATGACAGCCCTGTCCCCGTGGCAGGGGCACACTGCCAGGTGCTTCCACGTGGGCCTCGCTCACCAACGCCCCGCGAGGTCCCACCAAAGGCTCTCCTCAAAGAACTCCCCAGGATGCTCAGGCAGGAGGAATAAAATGAATTGGATTTCTTTTGCAGCTGATAGGAGCTGTTTAGAGGCTTTAAATGGCTTTGAGAACTGACGAGGAAAATATGGATCTCAGTTTACGGCGCTGATGAACAACATTTGCCTCCCAGCAAGGCGGGAGGAGAGGGGGGATTTGCCAGAGCAGGAGTTGTGCAGTCACTGGAAACACCTTTTCCAGACCTTCCAATCACTTTTGCCAATGTCACCAGCTCCCTTTAGTGATGCCTTTCCATGGTGAGAGTTCCCAGCAGAGCTGAGATCCCCCCTCAGCCACAGCTCCCATGTAACTGCTGCTCCTGGGATGCTCCAGGGATGCTCCAGGGATGCTCCAGGGACACTGGGGCATTAGGTGTGAAGCCATTCCCTGTGTCCTGTCACCCCAGGCTCTTGCCCAAAGTCTCTCCACTTCTTTCCACGTCTTTCCTCCAGGCTCAGGCACTGGAAAACCACAATTAGGTCACCCCAAAGCTTCTCTTCTCCAGGGACCTGCAAGGTTCTGTTTCATGCTAAATTAAACAAAAGGCCAACGATGCAGGTTTTCCCATAAAACAAACATTTCCCCTTTCCAAGCAGCTCTGAACATCTCCACTCCTGTTCCAGACGAGGAGAACAGCAGTTCACTGAATTATTTACTGCCTCCTGAGCAGGGCCAGACTGGCTCCCTTTGGCTGAGCCCAGCCAGGAGGGAAAGGCTGTGGGATGCAGGAGCGTGCTGCATCTTTCCTACCTCTGTAAGCAGCCAGCTGGGAGGGCTCGGAGGTGCCAGGGACAGAACTTCCCAAGGCCCTGTCACCTTCTG